TATATAAATTAACTATTACTTTTTCTAACATTCTAGTAGTTACTAGTGAATTATTTAAATTTAATTTTTTTCTTGATACTTGAGATATATTATCTTCATATTCTATTTGTTCTTTTCTATATTCTCCATATTCTTCATATTCTCCCTTATCTCCTTTATCTCCTTCAAAAACATCAGCAATTTCTTTTATATTATTTATATTATTACTATTTATTTTTATTTGTTAGTTTTATAAGATTTTTTATTTCTTTTAATATAGGACTCATAATACTATGAGTTACATATTTACTTGTTCCTAAGTAATCTGAAACATCAGCAAATCCTTTTAAAATTTGACATAAATCACTTAATGATTTCCATTTATCTTTAGTTAACATAATTTCAATCAGACATTGACCATCTTTTTTTGAATCATAATCATTAGTAAAAGGTAGTGTTGTTACTAAAATATCAATATATAGTTTAATTTCTAATAACCTTTTTTATACTAAATAACTAGAGTTCCATCGTACTGCAATATCAGCAATGCAATGATGTAAATATGTACTTGTTTTACTAGGTTTTTAAAAAAATTTTTTATAAATATAATAATAAAATAAATAAATACATATTTTTAATATTTTTAATATTTTTAATAATTACTTACTATTTTATTTTCTATTTGAATAGAAGATATTTGAATATTTTCCAATCTTTCTGACTGTTTAGGTTGCATAAAAAAATCAATAAGTCTTTTTGCTTTAACACAAGTAATTTTACATATGCAAGTCCATTTCTAATAACCAACTGTAAGGTATAAGCAGTACAAGGCTATCAGGTTATATTTTTAGAGATTATATTTATGTCTTTTATCGCCTTTTTCATATTTGGACCATTATCTATTGTAATTGCATTGACTTTTTCTCTTAACATCCATAGATCCAATATCTCAAGTAAAGTATCACTAATATGTGCTGCATTATATGAATAACGAATATTTAAAATGGTAAGAACAAGTTCATATAATTTAAAATCTTCATTCAAAAAGCAAACATATAACTCTAATATATCCTTGATGATTTCAAGAAGTCCAAAGGTCAGTAGTTAAATTGACTGAAATAGCATGCTTTTTAATATATTCAACAATTAAGGGATATGTATGATTATATGCTCTATAAATAATCTGTTTTACC